CCAAGGCCGGCTCAGAGAATTAGGCAAGTATAACTTTATTTTTGACCTTAGACAAAAAGGAGCACTCAACTCTTGCAGTCAGGGGCAGCCCCAATGTGAGGGTCAATAAACGCTTTACCTGGAGTTGTTCCTTTACCACTTACCATCTGCCTGTTTTAAATAAACAGACAGATGGCATGTGCTTGGACACCATACCTGTATGGCTTTTTTTTCCTGCTGCAAAATTTTGCGAATGGTGGTTTCTTGCAATTTCACTGGCACACGCAATTTTAAGGCTTGACATGTTTGGTATCTATTTACCTGACACAACCCCATCTTTTATATTTTACCCGAAAAATTGGCTAATAATGTTTCATAACATAACGTAGGTAAAAAAATGTTTTACATTTTCGTAATTTTTTCTTTATATAGTAAAAGATAAAAAACTCCAGTGGTGATTAACCTCCCTGGCGGTATGATTATTCAGGATTTTAGGTACCAAAAGCGGTACATTGTTTTTCAAGCAAATATGTTGTTTTACATTGTAGGCCTGTAGTTCTTAGTAAATCTTAGGAATAACTCACCTAAATCTGTCCAAACAAGAGTCCAGTAGACATCCCAGGTATTATAAAGTTTGAAACACGAAATTAAAAAATTATAATATAATAAATTATAAATAATTATAAGAAATTATAATATAATAAATAATTATAAATAATTATAAAAAATTATAATATAATAATTTAAAAAAATGGTCCAGTAAATGGGAATTCTGGGGGCGCAGCCTGATCCGTACCACAGTCAATAGAGTACCAAGTTCGCACATCACTGAGCTCGGTCGCAGAATCGTCGCTGTTTTAGGTCAAAAGCGGTTTTAGACCAGGTAGAAAACAGCGATAGTAAATTAGAACTACTTGCAGAATTGAGTGATAGCGATTCGTTGGGAAATTCCTCAACAGACACTGAAAGTGAGGACAGCGAGGATTCTGCGACCGAGCTCAGTGATGTGCGAACTTGGTACTCTATTTACTGTGGTACGGATCAGGCAACGCCCCCAGAATTCCCATTTACTGGACCATTTTTTTAATTATTTTATTATAATTTTTTATAATTATTTATTATATTATATTTTCTTATAATTGTGAAAAAGTGTCAGGCAGGGCACTGGACAAAGCTCTAGGGACAAAATTGAAGTGAAATAGTTTGATACATAAGTGTAATCATAGCAGATTACATTGTATTGTGTGTATTCTGTGTACATTACAACTTTTCACTTTTGAATTTCCCGCCTGCTGTGACGCTCGAAAACGAAACTAAAAGTCAGATGTCGGCTTTTAGTTTCATTTTCGAGCCGCGTACAGCAGAGGACGCCGCGGGATCGCAGGGACAAGGTGAGTGTCAGTTTTCTCTGCAGCCCCGAGTCTGGCTCGGGGTTACCGCTCCTAGCATGGAAAATTCACCCCGAGCCAGACTCGGGAATACCGCCAGGGAGGTTAAGTACCCCCAAAAAAGCTCTATCTGTCCCCCAAAAAAATAACCAATTAATTTTGGTACAGCGTTGCATGACTGAATAAATGTCAAGCAAAGTACTGCAGCGCTGAATACTGAAAAATGGCCTGAAGGGGGTTTAACACCCCGGCCTTCAAGTGGTTAAGAAATACTGTGTTATCACCTCCCCACCCACAGTTTTCTGACTGGTCAGTGAAAGAGCAGCAACATGTTAAGAAGTCATCAGTTCTGCTCACTTCTCTCTCTGTCAGCACATGTGTAAGTAACAGAGCAGCAGTGTAGCCATATGAGGCATTGGTATACTAGTTGTATAGAAAAGTGTATTATTTGTAACTGAATGAATAGATGTTTTGATATATCTGGAGTTCAGCTTTATTACTAAAATATTAATAACAATATCAGATCTGCATCCTGGTGATCAGCTGCTTGCTATGTTGGGATTGGATATGCTGCTTGATGTAAAATTCAAGGGATATATTCTCACATGGATTTCCTGCTTGCAGCTTAGCATGGCTGCCCCAGTTGACATAATATTACAGAGTTAGAAGTGACAAGCACAATTTTCTCCTAGGAAGCAGAATGGAAGCTCGGCAGAGAAAATAAAAGGAGATTGAATGAGTCTTTGAAAACATGTCAGTGGTTTCTTCCTCCAGTTTTCTCTCTGTGTCTTGTTCTTTTCTTAATTTTATTATTATCAGATGAATGCTGTGAGTGTTGCCTACTTTTATTAACATAACCTCCTAGAGTGTGTCATGGTAACCTGTACGAACAAAAATGTGTACCTCAAAGTGTAGCTAATATCTGATATTTCTGGAAGAACTCTTCCATAATATTATGATTTAGAGTGCAGCTTCATGGCTGTCTAAACGTATGCTTCACAAATGGAATTGTTTTGTTTGCTGTAAAAATAACCAAAAAACTAAACACAAATCTGTAAAATTCAGAAGCTGCTCTGTAATTACAATGAGATCTGGACATTTTATATGTAAGAGAAGAGCTGGAAAAACTCTATAATGTAAGCAAATTGACCAACCGCCTTCATTTAAAGCTAAACTCCAGGCAAAAAGTTAAATGCAGCGATAAATAACTATATGGAGGTTGTGTTACCCACCAAAGGATTTGTATTATTGTTGATCCAGATAGTTACACAGCTCCGCCACACAGCACATCCCTATCTGGCAGGGCAAGAGACCTGATTTTTCTCAACACTTACTGCTCTTGCCCTTCCACTACCAGACAGTTCATCATGCTCTCACTCTGATCTCTCCTTCCATATGCATGCACCCTGTTAGCACATGCTGCACATCTATATGGCTTCTTGTACGGCTTCTACCTTCCCCACTCTGAGCTTTGCTGCACAGGGAATTTCAGAAGGCTGATACCAAGTCAAATTTTAGGTACATCACCTACATACAGAAGTCTATATTATTGTATGCAGTGCTGCGCAAATGTGTGTCTTTTATACTGTTTATGTTCTAGTTCTGCTTTGCTACAGTAACAAGTGACAAGAATATTAATAAGTTCCTCCCTATGGGATGAATCGAAACTTCTCTAAACACAATTCGAGAAACCTTGTAGGGATGCAGGCCTGGTGAAACATGTGCTACCTTTGTTGGTTGGAATTCTAAGCAACCCACCTGTCCGACCACGCCCTCTTAATATATGACGGTGGGAAAAGATTTGGGGGTATTGTTTACTCCACATCAAATTGACCATATACTGTACTTTGCTCACAGGGCCCCTAGTTCTAGACCGTGGGAGGTGGGTTACAAAACTCTAACCAGATGGTACACTGTACCCATAGTCCTGAGCAGGAAGTTCCCTCACTCCCCAAGCGTTTGTTGGCTTCATGAAAGTCAGGGTACCCTTTTGCATGCATTCTGGGATTGTATCCAGCTGCAACCTTTCTGGTGGAAAGTTACAGACCTCATCCACAAAATTGTGGACGAGTCACATATCTCCTTCATCTCAGTCACTTCTCACAGAAGTTTTATAGAAACTCCCTACGGATTCATCTCCTGACTGCTGCCAGGATGTGAATACTATGGAAACAACCCAACCCATCAATTGTAGAGATGTGGTTCCACAGGGTGAATGAAATCCTATGGAGCAAACAGGACACATTTCGCTTTACCTTGTTTTCTTGGATTTGGTTCATCTGCTTACATTGATGCTGCCATAACCAAAGAGGGGTTTTATTGATTTAGCGAGGGGGTGATGGCTGGTCAATTTCTGCTCCCTCTATACTATACCTCATTCCCTCCATCTTGGCTCAGGCCCTTTCCCTTCCCCCCGAATCCTCCTTTTCCATTATTAATTTTCTTTTCAACATCTTTTGTGATCTTTACACTGAACAATGTTGGTATTATATTCATAGAAAAAGGGTATATGGGGGAACTTGTCATCCATTATCCAGTATTATCATTTGTTCCTAAATGGTCTTGTTTCAAACTTGTGCAATTGTGTTATGACAGTGACTTGTAACATTTAATGCATATGTATACAATATGTGATATTTTTCCTATGTTCTACTTGAATAAAGAATAAAAAGAAAAAGTATATGTATATGTAAAGCCAAAACTTTATTTTCAGTTGGATAAAGCAAGCAAGGGTTAGAAACTCTATCAGGTTTTTATTGCTCTCTGTGTCTCTGCTGGGGAGATTCACCCTTTTTATTGCTCTTAGGGACCTTTGTTTTCCATAGAGAAAGTGATGGGAAATTAAATACTTTAATTTTTTTTATTATTTTTTTTTTAGTTGTCACAGAAACAGTAGGGGAGAGGAAATCCTCCAATGGGTAAACTTGTTCTAATGACAACTGTCTAAATTGGGATTTCTGCTCACTTGTGACTTCCTGCTTTGTCTCTCCTTCATTGAATACAGACAGCAAAAATATAGCTGGACAGGGGTCATAATCTTTCCATACTGTATCCAAAACTAAAAAAAAAAGTTTTGGCTTTAGAGACTCTTTCATGGCAAGTGGGACGACATTTTTCTTAGAAAAAATGTGGTTTTGTCTATCTTACCTATTCTCTGTTGCAAACCCACAATTACGCTCAAACAAAAAAGAGGTAATAAAAAAGTAATACCAAACACGGGCTCCTAACACACATGCACTTCAACAACATTTGTGTAATGCTTGTGTCTTGGTGCAGATTCCAGTGAGCAGATTGACCTGAGAGTTTAATCAAGGCTCTGCTGGAAGAGTTTACATCTGGTGAACATTACTTGTGTTCTCTTCCTGACGAACGCACAGAATGCACAGAAAGGCGCGTACAACTAATATATGCCACAGAGTCCAAACAGCCCAGGTAAAATATTCACCATAACAGGCTGATTTGAGCAGAACGACTTTGAAACAACAATGATAATTACATTCTAGCAACATCACACAGCTGTGTCCAGCTGGTGGTCCACATTCCAATGTCTACCCCCCCTTTCTTTTCCCCGATATATGGAAACATTTAGTGAAGTATCAAAATATAATATTGTGCCCCTGTCTTATGTTTCAGCTTTGGTTCGCATTTGTTAATGGATTTTCTGGACAAATCTTGTTTGAACGATGGTGCATTGGCTTGTACAATGTGGTAAGTGACTCATTTTTGGTTTTTGATTACACATAAAAGTGGGAGCAAAGTTCCCTTACTAGTTCTGTCTCTGATGTTAATCGCAGTCCATTATCTTACTCCCAGTTTTTTATGTTATGTTGAACTATATTTTGAGAGAAAACATATTGTTCTGTTGCAACATATGCCCCATATTTAAAACAGTTGTTGTGAAAGTAAATTCAGTGTAAAACCACATTTTCCATAAATCAAGCAGCAGTCCCCTCGGCAATCATCTGGTATGATGTTTTCACATTTGTCCAGTAGTATTTGTATATGATAAATAACATGTTGTTTTCTTCTGGACTTCTTGTTTGCAATCTGCCTACCGACTATTTGCATATAGGCTTATATAAAGAAGAACAGAAATAAGAGTGTTCCATTGTTGACTTGTATTTAACAACCAGAACCAAAGACACGATAATGAACTTTTTAGGATACCCATAAAAAAGTTTAATTTAGTATGCAGTTTAAAAAAATTGTTAAAATATATTAATAATTTTATTGAATTCAGCATTTTTAAAATAATCTGCATATCCAAAAGACAAAAACTACTAGGGATGCACCAATACCGATACTAATATAGTATTTGTTAATGCTCCTGATGCCTATCCCGATGCCTAACCTGAAGTTCCCGGTATCAGGACCCCGGCAGCATGTCATTACACGCTGCCCAGCTTCCTGATTGGCCCGGGAAGCCAGGTACATGCTCCCTCATAGCCGGCTCCATGTGCTTCCTCATCACCTGGTAACGGCTTCCCGACTAATCAGGAAGCCGGGCGGTGAGTCATTACACGCCGCCCGGTTTTCTTAATGGGACTTCCAGTATCGGTATTTGATATCGGTATTGTATACCGGCGAGTACCAAAAAAAAGATCGGTACTCGATAACGAAAAAACGATATCGGTGCATCCCTAAAAATTACAATATATGAGAGCCTATATTTATTGAAGCCTTTACCTTTCTTCTATATATAATATTCATATACAGTAATAAATGTATTCATTTCCCGTCAATGTATATGGATTGTAAATATATTGAAGAGGAGGAGTTAATAGTTATAGACGTTCATTATTGTACATTTGAATGTTGTTTTATAGATATGCAGTTTTTTTAAACATTGAATTCAATAAAATGTTGCATCATGAAAAGGCATTTGGAGCATTTAGAGCATTGGTGACCTAGAGTTCTTACCCATACATAGTAAGGAGTTCAGGGATGGTAGAGAGAAAACTGAATTGGCAGTTTTATCAGGGCTTGGCAAGGCTTGTTCTGGATCCTGGAGCTCAAAAGCCTTTTGTGGAGGTTTGGATGTGATGAAACCTCCAACCCTAGGTTCACATTTTGGTGGTAACCAGCACCAACTTATTGCGTAGGTGTACACAAGGGTTTTGTTATGGTAACTGACTGTAGTTCAGGGCTACACTCAAGGGACTGAGGGTTTTACCCTGTAACAATTTCATGTGACACTGGGGAGCTCTGGAGTACCTGTGTGGTATTTGGTAAGACCCAGTCTGTGTGACAAGGACTGTATTTTTAGATAGTTATGCACCTGGGCAGCAATAGGTCACTCTAGGTCTGTTAGCTAGGGACCCCGTATGTTAGTAGTTCGCCAAGTGGCAAGGTTTTAAATTCTTGTTTTTAATTTTTGCTCATGTACATAGTTTTCGTAAATAAATTGCATGTGTGCATGTTTCATTGAGAACTGTTGTTTGTTGTGCCTTTTTAAAATTGTTGTGAACTCTTTCACATACACACCAACCTGTTGAGCTAATCCCTCTGTAGTAAATTATGAATGTTTATGGGTAAAATAAAAAAGTCTCATTTCATTTTTGGTCCTGGTTGTGAATACAATAGGTTGTGGATATCCTTAAACACTTGAAGAACCCTGCTATAAGGCCTCACAGGTGCAACAATGCCACTTTCAGATCCATATGGCCTTTTTTTTTTTATAGATCTGAACACTGTTATAGCCAATGTGTCCATGCACATAGTGGAATGTAGAGTGGCATTCAGTGAGATAAATATATATTACTCCACAATGACTACATATTTTAAAGTCCATGACTATGACCAATACCTCCCAGCTTTCTGAGATGAGAAAGAGGGACACTTTATAGTGCAAAGTATGTAAGCAAAGGCCACACCTCTTGCCAAGCCTTCAGTGACCTAGATTACAAAGAACACGTACACAATAAACAATTGGTTAAGCCCACAAGTGTTTGTTTTGCACTGCTTAACAAAAATGTATCAGTACTCGTACTTGTAAGTACTCGGCAAGTACCCGTACTCGCAAAACTGGTATCTGTGATTTCCTTTATTTATATTTATAAAAACAAAATCATACAATAAAACAGAGATGTACAAATCCCAGGAGCTCCGTGTGCTCCTTACAAATGACAGCTGCCTCCTAACTTTTGAATTTTTCTCTAGTCTAGTCTTGCAGCTGGAAAAGTATCGGTACATGTACTTGTACTTGTACTTGTGCCGAGTACTGTACTTGGTATCTGTGCAACCCTAGTTAGGAGGAATACTATGACCAACTGTGCTGGGCATCCCACAAGCATCAAGGGCCCATTCACACCAAGGTGGTTCGACCGCGCGGATCCGCCGACATGAACAATCCCATACATTGCTATGGGAACCATTCATGCGACCGCGCGATCCGAATCACCCCCCGTCCGAATTGCTCCCTGACCCTTTTTTGCCAATCTGATCAGTGCGGTTTCCATACGTTTTTAATTGCATTTCAGTGCTGAAACGCAATTAAAAACTCCCAAAACAGCCCTTTTAAATCAGCACGGAAACCACGCTGATCCGCAACCACCCTGGTGTGAATGGGGCCTAAGAGTTAGAGAAAATGTTAGAAAAAGATATAACCCGCTCTCTGCAATGGTTGTCAAATATAAACAAAAATAGCCAGATTCTTTTAAAATGACTAAATTATAAACAACATCTCTTTGAACAGCAGCCCAATGGCAGCCGCCAAATAGCATTATATACCTGTATTTGTCTATTTACACTTCTAAGGGGTCAACACTAAATTACTGTAATAACTAGCCAGTCTGGGAGCCCTTCTCCGCACACTACTTTACAATCGCATTTCTTTCTCTGACACTGTACAGCTACAAGTGCACAGCTGTGTATTTCCCCAGTCAATAGATACAACATTAAAATGCTGTGCATTTTACTTCCCCAGATAATAATAATAATAATAATATAGCAGAGCCAGTTCTTGAGCCAAGAATGGCCACATCTAATGTGTTAACTGGTCTTGTTTCTGGTGACAATGTGTACCTCTTCTGCAAGCAATATGAAAGTGCAGCTGTGAAAGAACAGCTTTAGAAATTACTAGTATGTGAGTGGGATTAGAGGCACACAGAATGCATGGCAGATACTACAATGCCTGGTAATGGCTGAAACTGCAGATTATGGATCCTGGAAAGACACCTCGGGCCCAGCACACAAAAGATGTATTGTTCCACAATACGTTTTTGGGATTTGTTATAAGAAGGAAGAAAGGACATAAGGAATCCGTTTTAGGAATCCGTTTTTCATTCAGGAAAAACGGATTCCTAAAACAACTCTAAATTTTTACAGCCAAGTTAACAGATGTAAGGTTAGACAAAATTGTAAAGAATATCATTCGCTTGTCTAAAAAAAGCAGTTGTATTGATGCTGAATGCAACATAAGGGCCACGTCACTCTTATGGGCATTTTCGTTGATGCATGTTTTTTCACATTGATGCGTATTGCTCATTTATTTTCAATGGGCACTCTGTGCCAGCCTTTCTCAACCAGGGTGCCGTGGCACACTGGTGTGCCTCCTGGCCACCTCAGGGGTGCCTCCAAATGTTGTGGTAGTGGGACTGTGATGTGAAGGAGGAAATGAAGACTGATGTAAATGGGTGTCCTTATGTAAAAGGGAAACTCTAATGTGAAAGTAGGGTACTCTGATATGAAAGTGGGGCTTCTGATGTGAAAGGGAGGCTCCTGATTTGAAGGGGGGCTACTGATGCAAAGGGTGATTCTGATGTGAAGGGGAGAATATTGATTTGAAGGGGCACTTCAATGTGAAGGGGGAACACCACTTTTTGTGCCCCCTTATAATTTAAAATCTATTACATTTTAGACTGGGGTGCATCCAGATTTTGCATACTTTTAAAGGGTGCCATGACTAAACAAAAGGTTGAGAAATGCTGCTCTATGCATCCAAGGGCCAAAAAAGAAAAACCTCCCTCATTTTTTTCCAGCACAAGACAACGTCTGTATTAGAGTACACATTATTGTATCTATAGCAATAACTCCTGCAGTATACAATTTCGGTCACTAGATGGCAGTGTTTATAAGTTCTGTTATACAGTATATATGATATACTCTGTTGTATTGAAAACGGTACAGAATAAAGCTGTGGCTTCCTTCCTGTTTCCAATCTATGAGCAGCATGCTTATCAGACTGTGTGCTTGTGTTTCTCTGTGAGGCTGTGCAAGAAGTTCCAACAGTATGTGTTCTCTAACACATGCTTTCCATTGCACTGGGAGGTAGTTGGGTTTGTTTTGAATATGTATGTGCATTGGGGGGCTATTAAAAATGAAAGGCAATGCACTGCAATGTGTATACATGGCGTGTTGCAGGGGCGTCCCGAGGCCGGGTGACACCCCGCCGTGACATCATTGCATGTGACGTTATTGCGCATGCACGGTCAGCTTAATTAACGCTGCTGGTTTGCCATCTTGGTGATGGACGCCAGCAGAGAGAGGAGGGGATGTTCACCCGGTGGGATGACACTGTCACTGTCGGGCTCTCGGTCTATGACCGAGTGCCCAACTTTTTAGAGGGGGTTACCCGGGTGCGGGGCGCACCCCCCTTGTGACGCCACTGGCGCGTTGTACTGCATGTTATCACACATAATAACGTGTAGTTAAATGAACACACAAAAGTATAAAAAGGTCTGATATTGGAGCACGTTTGCTTTATGTTCATTTGTTATTTAACATTTTTAACATTCCTGCTTAAAGACTTCCAGGTGTAAATTATTCTCCTTGGCACACATAATTACTACTAAGCAGGTGTTTGTTTTAAACAAAAATATGGGTGTGAATGAATAAATTACACATATATTCTGTATAAATCCATCCCACGGGTCACATTCTCACTATTGTATTAAAAACCCCCTTATTAAAAGCCCTTTTTTGAAATAACGCTGACAGTGCAGTGAAATGCCCAGTGTTAGCACTTCACTACTTCCACGTGAGCGTGCCCACTGGAGTCACAATAGTTCTCTCTGGTGGAGACTGATGTCAATACTGTTTCAGTATAATTTAAAAATAATTAGTCTAAGCCCAGTGTCAGTCACCTGCACCCAGCAGGGGCATCTGTCTGTATCTGCTGTATCAGAATTACTTGTGTGATCAGGCTTCCAGTTCTAAATGTTCACATGCAGGATTCAACAGCGCTTGCAGGAGTATGTGATTGTGTTATGCATGCTGGCATTTTTGTAACATATGGAAATATATTGTCACGACAATGATGCTCCTGTGTACAAAGGTAATTTTCTGACAGCATTCTACTCTCTATTCTTCTACATTTCATATATCCTTCAAAAAAAATAGAAGATCCCTGCTAGCAAACTCTACTGCTAGTGCTGCTGCAAAAAAGAAACCTGCAAAGGTAGAAATATGGGAGCTGTCATTGCTGACTTGTTTTTAATGTTGCAGGTTCCAGGTTTATTATCCTGATACTGGCTTCATTATGTATCTTGTCACTAACCCAAACAAGGACCCTGCCAGTGAAGTCTAAAAAATCTTGTCTCCTTAGGTAATGAATCTGCAATCAGGATGACAGTTCTAATGTCTAAACCTTTAAAAATAAGTCAGAGATGGCGTCTCCTATGTTTCTTGCCTTACTTGTCCCCCTTCAGTCTACTGCTTTTCATCTCTACTTCTCCTTTAAGTGACTCTATTGTTAAAATCAAAGTAACAAAAAAGATAACTCTTTGATATACTGTATAGGAAATACCTTTGTCTGCTGCTGCTTGTGCCGCTAAATGTCACCGTAAAGCTGGCCATACACTTTCAACTTTGTATTAGTTGATGAGGTCAAATTGACTATTGATTTCGAGCGTAGTGATGAAAGAACTCGAAGGAGCAGGATGGAAAAAAGATTTTGAACAAATTAAATTCTAACAGTAAATTTTGTTTGGGAAACTCCATTCACTCCAAAATCAAACGTTAGAATCAAACAAAATTTCAATCAACATTTGTCAAGTATCTGATGGCATTGTCGGTTGGTAAAGAAAGATCTTTTGTACAAAACTTTGTTCGGGAATATACCAGTGTATGGCCAGCTTAAGACTTAAGGAGTGGTGGATCCCTGATCCTGTTTTGCGTTTAGTGCACCTAGTTCTTCCCGCTGACCATTATGTTACTATGTCCTGTAGTGCCGTAGGGGTCAGTGTAAGAAACCACAAAGCTTAGTGAAGGTACCAGGATAGTAACTATACAGGAAGTTACTAAAGAGACTTCAGGTGGGGTGATATCTACAGCGGCAGTCAGACATTTGAAGTATTTATTTATCTTTTTTGTAGGAACATCTTTTATTGACATTTGATTTTAGCAATACAATCACTGGTACCAGTGATTGGCACCAGACATCATTCTAACCACCTTTATGCCTGACTCCTAGCAGGTTGACCGACCATGTCACTGCAAAGAGTATAGCCTAGGTAGGTCTGAAAACAGCTTGAAAAATAAAGTATATTCAATAATTCCATAATGTGCAAGACAAGTGAAAAATCTATTCGTAAAGCAAAGTTCTGCTTTTAGTCTATATTAACATGGCATTACATGTACACATTAAGAGTCTATTACGATGCAAATACAGGACTGTATGATTCATACTACAGTATTTAGCTGCTCAGTAACTCAGGGGGCATGGTTGGATCATTGTGGCTGTGAGGTATTAACAACCTCTTTAGGTCTTTCCTGCCCTCTTTCCACATTGTTATGACCTTTGCAGTGATCACCATTACTCTCTTGACAGATTTTCACCGCCTTACCGCCTTTCACACTGGGAATCTGCGAGCGATCCTGCAGCCAAGACAGCATGCGAAGATTTCCACAGCTCTACAAAATCACTCAGAATGCAGATGGATTTAACACAAAGGTAAGTGTGATGGAAGCAACCATGCCTATGATATCTGAGTGAAGTCTCTGTTTATGGCAGGGATGTTGTCTTCAACATTTTTAAGGCAAAACCAAGCTTTAAAGGCTATGTCCTCCTAAAAGGAACATGTTATGACATCTAACTCTTCTTGCTGCAGCAGATAAACTTGTTTCTTTTTTGCTGCATTCTTCTACATAATGTAAGACAAAGAAAAGAAAAAACAGAAACTGGTGTCCCTGCTAGATGTAAGAAACTGATGTGTGGTTCAACAAATCTGAACATGCTCAAAACTAAAATGAAAACCTTCAGAAAGTGAAGTACCTGATTCAGAAGCTCTGATGATGCCCTTATTTGACTCCCAGGGCAAGCACTAATTCTAGGACAGTGACATCAGCTGCAGTAAAGCTAAGTAGGCTCAGCTACACTATTCCAGCACTAGATCACAGAGATCAGTGTTAAGTTTCCTGACCGATTCACTTTAAATATTATATTAATTTTGTATGGTCAGGTCCTATAAATAAGCAGTAAGGTTAACTTATAAGACTTTCTGGCTCTGTACCCATGTTATGAAGAGTCTCAGTAATTGTTGCCGCATTCCTCATAATATAACATAGTGCTTGTATTTCCTCTGTATGATCTGAACATGCACAACATTCAGATCTTTCAGGCTTGGACATTACCATGTATGGTCAGATCTTTTTGAGATCTGTCAAATCAGTGATCTCATGTGCAGATCTTATCAGATATACTGTCTCTATGGATGAAAGTAATTAATCCAAACTGTCTTGCAGTAATTGTGAACGTGCAAGTTGATAAGCAATTTATAATGAGCTTGTGAAGAGTACTTCTTGGTAAACCTCTAGGATTGGTGGAGAATTCTTCCATTCCTACACAGAAAGAAGAAAGATCCTTCAATCACATGAGTACTGAACTGCAAAATATACCCATTCGAGAAGTGGTAGAGGAACCACCAGTGAAGTAAACTGGGGTACTATTAGTACTAAATACTGAAGGAAAATTGGAGATCATCAAATCTGTGTTGATGTAAAGGGTTTGCATGGACCAGCCTTTCTCAGTTGGGGCTCTTTGAAGCCCTAGTGTTTATTCTGAGGTTGCTGGGGTTCCTTTAACAGTGGGCAGTGGTGGATTAACCTCTCACGTGACAGTGCTTGCATAGTCCTGGGGCAGCCGTCACTCAGCAAAGCATAATGGCACAGGACCAGTTGATCCTCTCTTCCCATGCCTTATATTAATATCAATGTCTTATACCCATGCCTTATATTAATATCAATTTTATATATACAATATCAATGTAACAAAAAGAACAATATAAAAACTAGGATTTTTCAGGTGCTACAATAGACTTGCACTATATTATCCCACCAGTCAGCAGTTTCTAAGTCTGTTACTGAAACTCATGTATTTCATAGTGTATAATCCTAAAATACATAATGCAAATACACATGCACATATATAGTTTCTCTGGCCATATATATTTTTTGTTTGAATTTCATGATTATTACTCATAATCATTTTTGTCATATAGAGAAGGAAGGTGTTAAAATATTCATCCCCAGTTGTCAAATACCCTAGGTACTCCATATTCCTTATTCTTTTATTTATGACCATATCTACAAGTTACTGATCATGCAAATGTATCCTGAGCTGTAGATATGATTTTTAGCAGAAGTTCCCAGAGACCTGAAATTTATTTTAAGCGCCTCCCTGGGGTAAAAAGGTTGAGTAAGTCTGGTCTCAACATGTACCTACTGTCTGTCAACTGCATTCACAACTCAAGTCAGATATGCATCTGCAATGTTTTACTATTATTGAACTGTGCATGTCAAAATGATCAATAGATTCAGACATAGAAGCGGCTGAAGTTATATTCTAATGAAGAAGAAGAATAGTTCATACGTGACCCCAATAGAGAGTACGGTGTTCACTGAGACCAGAAGTATATGCAATATATTCTAAGAACATATTTATAACTTAAAATGTTACTGTACATGACATGCTTTTTAAAACATTTTGTTTTTATTTCAAGATTAACTGATCCCTTGAAACACTGACCTTTTGGCTCATTTCCCTTTAAAAGAAGATTACACTTTGAGAACAATGAAGTTCTTGTCCTTTATGATATGTAGTATACTTCAGTTAGAGTTGCGTGACAATCCTAACAGATTAGCAGGAATGAAAATAGATCCTAGAAAGAGAAATGATTGTTTTATCATCATCCTCCGGAACCCAGGAACACCACTGATTGCTCAGTGTAACAGCAAAGCCCTTGTTGAGATTCGGTCAGGTGTTAAAGTTAAGTGATATCCTTGTTCTGTGTTGTTTTAGGTATTTTGGGGTCATTGTATCAATGCCTTGGTCCACTCGCTAATCCTCTTCTGGTTCCCACTGAAAATGATGGAACACGGTAACTATTTTATATGTCAGTTTTCAAAGATGTGATGCTGAATATTTATTCTGGTATGGTTGTAGATTTTATTAGCAGACACAGCCGATGGAAACTGGGGTGACAGAAGGTTAAAGACAATGTTGTGATTGGCAGGCCATTAATTCACATTTTCACCCAGTTCTATGATTCATCAGTTGCTTTTCAGCATTGTTTTACATTTAACTTTTTGCACTTTGTTGACTTCTGCTACTTTATAACTTTATAAAAGTCTGCCTTCCATTCATGCCAAGTATACTCCTTCCCTGGTAAAGCTATAATGACAATGTAAGACACTGCATAATATATTGAGACCTTCCTAGCAGATTCACAAACTATCCTAAATCCTGTGGAAATATACCTGGACAGAATCAATTGGAGAAGTTACCTTTTTTATAGCAAGTCTACAGGAAAATGTTCATGTTACTCAAAACAACCAATTAGATGTTTGTTCTTATTCTCCAAATGTGGGGGGCTATTTATAAAGGGTTTAAATGAATAATTATTAGGAGCCCCAGTTAATACAAACAGGCCAATTCATTAAAACTGTAGAGAACAAAATCAGCACAAAAATAGTTCAGTTGCTTATATAGCCCAATTAGAATTGTTATTTAATCTGATTGGTTGCAATTATTAAGGATTCTACTTATATGCTCTTTGTCTTTTCACCAATTTCAGTGAACCAACCCTGACATTTGTAGGAGTATGATAAGCTGCTGTGAGCAGTATTACATTTTTTCTGTGTACTTTCTCCTCTAGCAGTGTATCTAGAGGTTTGGATTAGGAAAGTTCTGTATAGCTGATGCTAATTCATGAGCACAATTGTACATCCCAGCTCCTAGAACAGGGGTGTCAAACTAAATTTCATCACAGGCCGCATTAGCATTATAGTTGGCCCCAAAGGGCCGGTTGTATTTGTAAGACTAAATAAACTATAAATGTATCTACTCTTTATCATATTAAATAACTGCCTCTGCATTCGATTATTATCGGGTTTAGTAATAACTTAATAACTTGCTCTGAAAGTAGAAGTCTAGGTTTATGGGACGTTTATACACATGTGATTTGTTGAGTTAATTTGTTCAGTAAATAGGTATTTTCTGTACATATTGCGTGTGGACTATTTGGGTAGTCTTACCACTATTTCATGGGGCATATATTTATTGGCATTTTGACTATAAATAGTGGAAGCTACCATATACTGTATATGTATATATATATTTATTCACTGGCTTGTATTATAACTATGATACAGAGAGTTATACTCATTATGAGTTGATTCGTTCTGAATAGGGCATTGATGGGGACTGTGGCCCCTTATCTATTTTTTTTACTCTACGGTGGGCTGTGCGGACTCTCAGATAGCTTTGCGTGGTCTATGCTGGGCTGTGCAGGGGTCTTAGGAGGGCTGTGCGGTCTCACCTGGGGTCCTGGTCCGTCTTGGCAGGTGTAAACAGGCACCACGATTCACAGGAAGGCTGCCAGGACCTTGCTGGGTGACCTCAGCAGCCTTTCAGTGAAGCCCGGCGCCTGTTTACAGCACCGGCTTCAGTTTAAAAATGTTAAACGCTGGTATCGGCGCTTAGTATCTGGGCATTTTCGCGAGTATGAGTACCGGTATCAGCACTGATACCGGTATCGATGCATCCCTAAACAGTATATCCAAAGTGTTCTGTCCTCCTCTCTGGTGCCGACTGCTGAGACAAGGTGGGGGCAGAGATGAGGGGGGTGCCGCAGGAGAGGTGCAAGGGCTACATGAAATTGCCTGGCGGGCTGGATTTGGCCTTGTGTTTGACACAAGTGTCCTAGAAGATGTAAAAAGGTTGCCCCCGGTCCTGAGCAGTTTTTTGTAAAGCCATGCACAAAATACCTGTTCATCCAGTCAGACAGTCAGAGCTGTCCTGTGTTATGTCAAGCACTTTACCACTTGTGCCTAGCCCACATTCTTGAATGATAACCCCCCCCTCCCCCCTTTGCCCCCATTTGTTGTGGAGGGGGTATTCTGTACTTCAAAAGAAGACAAGCGGGCAGAGCTGGCACCATTCCCTGCAGTTTCACTCAAGTAAAAACACTTACTGTGTCAGCTCACACCAGGAAATTAGGGGCTGGTTGGGTTTCTAAAAGGATCAATGGGTAGTTTTCTGAATTTGCAGAATCTTTAAAGGTATACCACATGGGAAATGTGCTTTTTGTTTTCACTTGCCCTGATATACACTTTGTTTTCAGTTACATAAAATTAATCTTTAGAGCTAGGAAAATACTGCTCAAATTTTAGCAGGACTTTGCTGCATTTTGCCCAGTGTGTAGCCCCATTAGCCCCCTCTGTTCACAAAAAATGTATCGTCTCCAGCGAACAGTGGCTGCGGCCATGTTTTGGTATTCTGGCAGCAACATACCTGCCACTCCCAGAAAATAATAGCTGGGCTAGGGGGATTCCCCAATTCACGATGTTTAGCGTGGATTGGGGGAATCAATAAGTCTGTGGCCAGCTTAGACTACTCTTTACAATTAGCTCTTTTCTAGATCTGGAGTTCTGTTGTCTATAGCCAACCTTAGGCAAGTCAAAGAAATTTGAGAGAGGTTGGTTGTTCATATACACTGTAGGGAATCAGTCTCAAGGCAGTGCCAAATTCGCAGGTTTTTTATTCACAGTGACAGTATCAAACAAAAGGTAACGGCATCTTGCCATAACAGAAAGGAAAATAAAATTCTGCTCCACTGAGCCTTACTGTAGCCTTTATCCAGCAAAGTCCTTGGTTAAAGACAAGCATGTCCTTTGCAAAACAAATTCTTTAGTTTTAAAGGTAAGTGTGTCCTGTATAACACTAACAGGTCCACTCAAATCTCGCTGCAAGCAGCACACAGTCTCCTCATCCATTGAGACTCTCTCTCTCTCTCTCTCTCTCTCTCTCTCTCTCTCTCTCTCTCTCTCTCTCCCTCCCTCTCTCTCTCTCTCTCCTCACACAGCTAGGCCCAGCTGCCTTAATCAGGACCTAGGGAGAAACCCTCAAAATGTGGTCCACGGACTTGGGAGTTTGTCCCTCTCAGAGCTCTATCAGACTCCAAGTAAAACCAGCCCTAGATCAGGTTTTACTAACATAAGGTAAAGAACTAACTTTCTTTACCATGGACTCTTTGCTGGCATTAGCTTAGATACAAATCTAAGAATCTGTGGAAGAACATATATCCTGTCAATCACTTTTCCTGTTACTTTGACTGATTTCAGAGGCACCCTGCTGCAGCAGTCAGACTGTCTTCGTGTTTATCTGTCACCAAGCAGCTCCATAAAAATGCAGATTCATCCCTGTCAAGGGTGAATGTTTATTCTATTAAGACAGGAGAGGTAAAAACTGCTGGACACCCCACATAGGGGGGAAACAATCGCAGCCATTCCAATAGGATCAATTGCTGTCAAGGTTTGTCAACAAGGGCTGCCTAAAGCTGGTATACACTGCTGAATGTTGGCCAATTCCTCCTCAATCATCTAAAATCTGAGCCATGGTTGGCCCTGTTGGTAGCCCCCCTCACTCAACAAAAGTAAACAAAATTTAATTGGCCTTGGTAGAAGTAGCCGGTCTGAACATTCTTGTCTGAACAGTGCCTATATCTATGCAACTGCTGAATACAAGTGGATGGATACCTGCAGCCCAGTGTGTATAGCCAGTGTTACTGTGCCCACAAAGATAAAATGGCTATCAAATATGGGCAACAAACCATTTACTTGGACAGCTCAAACAATGAATAGAGCACCTTTAAATGGTACAGCTTTACATTTCTTCTCAATCTAAAATTAACTGTAAGTTGTTAGTACAATTAAGTGGATATTTTGCAATAACGGTAACTATGATATTATAGATAACAAGCTTAGTGGGTGATAAATGAAATTAATTACATGCTTTGCTTATCAGAGCAGGAACTGTCTAAGCATTCAGCATTATCATCACCTCAGTGTGAACTTGGATATGTCCCTGCAAATCCGCTGGTGCATTCTTTGTCCTCCGCTTATCCACTCTTTTACAACTCGTGATTGAGATTTATGTGTTTTGGAAGGCGTTCTTCACTCTGTGAGGATAGAGAAGAACTTTGTCTCCTAGAAAAGCAATACAAGCAGAGCGGAGAGTAAAGATTTGCATGCTGGAACCCAGTCAATGCAATACATCAAACCTGTGTAATCATTGTATTGTATTGTACACTACATGGATGCCTAAATTTAAGTACAATAAATCATAGAGTGATTTGCAGTGTGTGACAAGCCAGTGATGGCAGGGAAACCGTAACACAGAAATCACTGATCTTCTTGCCACAACTCTGTCATTCATTATGTTTTCAATGAGTGATTACTTAGAACAAACAGAGACTGCTGTTCTAGCCAGAGGGAGAAAACTTAGAAAAAGTGTAATGCATTTATCTGCAAAGAAAATCCCAAACAGTGTATCTATGTAGATTCTTTCCACTTGAAAACAAATGTTACAGATGAGCGTTTTGAAGAATTATGCTGGCCATACTCATGACAATTCTCTAGCAATTTAAAGTTACAAAAATGCACAAAAAAAAATCAAGACAACTTAACATCCATTTTGAGTACATATGTAAACTGGTGGGGATAGGTTGCCTTGATCTGTGATTATCTGTGCGTGGTAAAGCTAGTGATTTTTCCATGTTTGGCTAGTGTTAGGGGGCACCAACTCGTTCCTAGTCCCACTTCCAGTCACTCACCTCTACCCAGAAATGTTTTTCAGCCAGGCAAACGCATGTACTTTGCATTCCCATTCATTCATGTGGAGCCATTCATTCCTATGAAGCTTCCAAGTAGGGGCTCATACCCAGTAGGATCCTATCCATTCAGATGCATGAGTTGTTCAGGTATTCAACAGCAATTGGAGCAACAGCTGCTACTATTCTCTAATATTAGGGGGCACCAACTCATCCAGAATCCCAAGAAAAAATTGTATATTCCCTGGAGCTCCGATATACTATACAAA